CCGTGAGTATTTGAGCACAGTAAGTATGCAGCAGTATCGGCACGAAGGAGCCGACATGCCGTCGTGCGACACGGGACGTGTCGATGAGGTTGTTTGAGCCGGACTTGGCTTTGTGGCTGTGATGGGCTGGCGGGTTGCAGAGGAGGGTCAAAAGACGGGTGAAGGAGCGGGCTTGCTTTGGTCCGAGAGGTTTGTGGGCTCGGAAGGTTGACGCAGAGGGTCTGATGGGCGTGAAGAGCGCGGTCAGGAGGCTTTGCAGGACTGGGATGAGGAGGTGTAGGCGATCGTGAAGTTTAGCGCGGTGGTGTTTCAGGAGCGCCGAAAAGAGGGTGCAGATGTCGAGGTAGATGAGAGGGTATGCGCGGGAAGCTCGGTCCGAGGCCAGGTGATGGAGAATTGCGAGAGTGAGCTCCGCAAGGTGCTGTTTCACCAGAAATGACTTATCGGTCAGCGCGGTAAGGATGCAGGACGTTGCTGCGCGATGCACGGTATAGGTCGGCGAGGTCGTCAGGACGGCAAGCAACCTGGCGTACACATCGCGGACGCTGGACACGTCCTCAGGCTTGAGATTCGCCTTCGACATGGCTGATATGCTGTGCTGTATGGCGTTGACCTCCTCTGCGGTCGCGGGACGAGCGAGAGCATGTGCGGACCCCAGACTGTCGCTCATGGATTCTAACGACCGGGTCGCGCTCGCTCTCAGCAATCTCACTAGCTCATCGCGCGTGTCTGGAGGCTGGCGATCGTCTAGTAGCTGCAAGCCAACCGCACGTGTCTCATCATCGGGTACAGTGAGGATAGCGACCTTATATGCTTGTAGAGCAGACCTTGCACATATCACCGACAGCTTGGCCTCGGGGTCAACAGGGCGAGACTTACACCACGCGATGACGTTGCGCATGGTGGCTGCGACAGAAGTTGCTTCCAATACATGGATCTCCGAAAGCGTTATTGAAGACAAGTAAATGTGCAAGGTACTGCACCACATGCCTAGCATCGCGGCGACCTCCTCTTTGCCCTTCGCAGTGACTGTCTTTGGGTCCACATGGTATTCGAGGGCCGAGATCTTCCCCTTGCCATGGCTTGCAAAGTCTGACCTGCGGTCGTCGATGATCCTCGCAAGTGCAGGCACTGCCGCTGCTCGATCCACCATCCGTAGTATGGCGTTGTCAAGCACATAGTAGCACAGCGGCTCGCCAGCGAATTCCGGAACGTCCCTTTCATCAAGCCCACGGAGTACTCTCTGCAATTGCTTGGCAAACGTTGGAGACTTCGGATACATCGCTAGCTGGCGCTCAAGCACCGCCTTCGCGATGGTGTTGAAGAGGTCAACAGAGGTCAAGTACGTTTGGTACGCCTCAGGATCAGCATTATTATCAATATAAGCCTGTAGTTGCCAGATGGCTTCCGCATCGAGATCCAGGTTACAATCGGCATGGGGCACACGCAGCAGCTTAGCAATGAGGGATAAGCGTGGATTTATATTCCCAACACGGACTTCATCGTCGGCGTCGTGTTCCTCGTCACTATTGGCGTCGTCCTCGCTCTCGGCAGCCAGTGACGCCACCAGTCCATTGATGATGTTCTTGCGGTCATTGTAAGACAAATTGGCAACAGGAACATCATGCAGTAGCGTCACCGAAAGCTCGTGGCGTTTGTCGAAGGTGTCGTTGATCGTCAGCTCCGAGATCAGTTGGCTGATCACTCCGTTTCCTACTGGAGCATTCGTTTGTAGTAGTGTAGTGTAGGCCATGAGAACCGTCGACTTCAATATTCCTTGGGGACGCGGCGTCGAAGCGAGTTTCTTGAATTCTTCCAGGATCCGAGAGATCTGCTCCTCCATACCCTCCGAGGTTTGCGACTCCAACAGGCTCGGATGCCCGACTGCTGCCAGAGTCGAAACGGCACTTGATCCCATCTTTTCGGTGGTGGGATCTGCGCCCAGATGGCCCAACCGCCAACGCTCAAGAAGACCCGTCAACACATGTGATGATCCAACATCGTCTGCCATACCCTCTAGCATAGTTTCCAGAGGCTGCAGTCGACCTGAGTAATCGTAGGCAGTGCCAATGATAGGCGAGTCACATATCACACCAAGTCTTCTTCCAACAACCTGTTCATCTGACTGCTGCGACGCCCATCGGGGTAGCCATAGCTGTAAAGACTGCTTGAGAATCCCCCAGAAGACACCAGTGACGACAACATCGATTTCCTCGGCTTCTACATCGCGAGAGACTTTCACTTTAGACGGTGAAGTAAGTAGTAGATCGTCAACTAGCAGGCCCAGCGGCACAAGGAGGCGATCTATGACATCGTCTGACCGTACGCCGGGTAGAATGGCGCCCAGAATCACGATATTGGATCGTAGCTCCGGTGAGTCGTGCAAATGTGTCTCTTTCTGCAAATCTGCAGAGGCCAGGTGGTAGATCTCGATCAGACTGGCGATCTGCTCACTCGTCAGATGTCGCTCAAGTATGTCTATCAGGCAATCGCCTAGCTCAGTGAAGACTGATGGTGCATCTATAGATGGGCCTGTGCGGAGTGTCTGATGCCACTGAGCGATGAACTCCTCTAGTCTCCTAGCCTTTGCATACGCCGTGAGCACAGGCATAATGATGCACTCCTTCAGTCCGGACGTTGCACATGCCGATGGCTTCCCGTCGCCCTCCCACGCTGAACTGTCGTATCTCGTCAGACCTTGGAAGAGCTGCTCCAGCAAGGTGGCATCGACGAATGCATTGGCATCGAGCGTAATGATGGCTGCGATGAGATTGAGATCTGGATCGAAGACCTCGTCATCCTCTCCTAGCCGGCAGTACTGTCGGATGATATTACGCAGAACCTGAACAGACAGTGTAGTCTTCGTGCCGATAATCGCAAGCATCTCAGCAACCGTATGAACGGTCGCCATTACTTTGTCCTTGATCAGGCAGTCAAGTAGACCCAGGAACACAGCCTCGACCCAGGCGCGTTCTTTCGCTCGTTGCTGTGAGTTCTGTAGTGGTACGCATCTCAGCGCAACGCGAAGCAATTGCAATACAGCTGGCGCGACTTGTCTGTGCATTCCCTGAACGTCACTTGCATCATTCAACGACTTGAGCATCGTGCCGATGGTTGTTGATACAGCACTATCTCTTCCAGATTGTGAACTACCGAGACTCGCCCGTATCGGAAGGAACACATGCCGCGCGAGTAGACGCTCCAAGTCGCTGTTGACGTTGGACACCGGCAGTGAGTCAGATACTGCGTCTCGTTTCCGTGGCAATGACACTGAGGGACTCGAGTCGTGCTGGATCCGTCGCAGCATCAAGGCACACGGCACTAGACAATGCTCGGCGAACGAAGCGTTGTCTGAAGCCGAAGGTCTGCGCAGCTCCCAGATCGTGATCGCAGGGCCTGCATACCACGCAGGAGCGTCCTGTGCAAGGTCCGACACAGCACTGCTTCCAGCAAAGATCTCGAGCACTCGACGGACCCAAATTTGGAAGAAAGTCGCCGCATTCGCATCGTCTGTGGTTAGCAGCCGCTTGACTCCAGCACCGGATGCGCCTTGCGAGATACTCGTCAGCGTATCGAGCATCTGTGTGATTGCACTCAGACTCTGCTGCAATGTGGCACCATCGAGCTCCGCGACCGCAGACTTGACTACACCGATCAGATCGAACCGAGAAAGCAGAGTACTAAGTGTCTGCGGTGCAATAATTCGAACGCATTTTTCGAACAGATTCCAGCTCTCTGTAGTCATGCGAGCAGTTGAATCACTCTGTAGTTTTCCAGATAGCCACTTCAGGATCATCTGCGCTCGGTGGCCATCGTTGCAAAGTTCGTTCGCTTCCTTTAGCTGTTCGTCCAGACTGGTGAGGGGGTCCAGTGCTTTCAGGCGATCCAAGGACGATCGCCCTGGGCCTGAGGCGTCATTCATGGTCATTTCGACCATCTTGAGACCCATCTGCGCTGGGCAGAATGTTTATGGAATCGTCTGTACCGAATCTCGACTTTTTTGAAGATGAGGTCGCGCATTGACCAGCGGAAGCGAACCCCCGACGTTCCGGCTGCGACAGGAACAAGCTTGAAGCATTGGGAGCTGCAAATCAAGTCCTCTGGATATCAGTGTACCTTGTTCCTCTTGAAGACTTATAGCGCGCGCAGAGAGCTGCTACATACCCAGAGATTGTCCAGGAACCATGTCGAGCTCTACGACCCCGATCCCGGCCATCACACCCCCCGCGGCACGCCCAAACCGGCCCTTGAGCGAAGCTCTGCTGAACGAGAAGGTATGCGCTGAATAACACCTTCAACCCATCACCGTTGCTCCGAGACCACGGCACGGCGATCTTTGCTAGCATGTGGCTGACCGACGTTTAGTGGGATCATTGCCTCAGCACAACCCTCATCCGCGGCACCCTCGGCGCGTCCTTCGGAATTATCTTCTCAGTGCTTCTCTTCAAGAGACGATCATGGCCGGTTTTCACAGGAGCTGGGTTTGTGATCGGACGAGCATGGGAGGAGTGCGATGCTGTGAGTATGACCCTACGAGAGTGGATCTGCACCACGCGCCGCCGGGCGGAGGACTCGCACACTCATGTGGTGCACTTTCCAAGCGGCGCGTGATGCGCGGCAGATCTCAATGGAGCCAGATTGGTATGTATTGATTGCTGACGGTTTTATTGCAGAGCTTCAAGCGCGCGTCCGCACCCTCGAGAGACGGACTACGAGTACTGCGACCATAGGTCCTACATGTGCGATACTGTGAGCTATGGCGTGGTGCTGAGCGGGGAACATGATTGGGTCTGCCGCGCGACGGATGAGAGTCTGGTAGGCTTTGTACATACACTACTCCCCGCTGAGAGAGGATCGGAGGTCAGCTGCTTGACGCGAGGTTGCTGGAGCGCGACGCAATGGGGAAACTCTTTATCTAGACCATGCAAGTGCTCTATTTGCCAGGCCCGACAAATTTATCAGTCACTACATATTAGCTTCGGGTACTCCCGCTTCCTCACGCTGCGGTGGCCGAGTGGTCTAAGGCGGTAGATTTAAGTTAATGAACTCTACTGGAGAGATCCGCGCGAGTTCGAACCTCGTCCGCAGCATTACATTCTTTGTTTTGCGAGCGTGATGTAGGTATCTCGTTTTGACAGTTGGCGAGAGGATGTAACGGGGAGCGGCGACTAGCAGTTGAGACACGGCAGGGCGTCAAGCTTCGACGATCACCTCGCCTTTTGGTTCTCCAGAAAATGAATAGCGAAGTACTTGCAGTCTCATTGATCTCCTTAGCTCATCTCGTTCGTTCTCCCACTGTGTTCATCAGTACATCATGATTGCAGCAAGAATGGCAGCTTCGACATCAGGCCCAGAAATAGCGCACATCAGAGCTCTCATATTCGATCTGATGGGCACTTGTCTCGACTGGCATTCCGCTATCCAAAATTATCTAGGGTACCTCATCGATCAGGTCACGGGACGCTGGAGTGTCTCAGAGGTCTCTGAAGTCGCACTGGAATGGCGACAAGCCTTCTTCGACGAGACCAGTGCTCGATTTAAAGCAGGCTTACCTGCCGAGGACATCGACGAAACGCACCGTAGGACTTTGGACCGCCTGCTAGGCACAAGGTACAATTTTACAGAGCATGACTGTCGATTAGAGATTGAAGAGTGCATGCAGGCGTGGCATCGGCAGCGAGGTGCTTCACCACTCTCTTAAATGTCATAGTCATTGTGCGCAGTATTGACCGCGGACTAAATAGCATGGCCTGATGTCAGACCCGCGCTCGAGAGACTTCGGAGAACCTTTGACGTGTAAGCCTCTCATGATCAGAGCATCATCCACGCATCTATCTCACACTGGCAGCATCGTCCTCGCAAATGGTACCGCTCGCTTGCAGATCGACATCACGAAGTCAGCGGGCGTGGACTTTGATCTACTGCTCTCAAGCGAACTGCTTGGTCTCACTAAGCCTGATCCCAGAGCTTATCGTAGAGCAACCGAGCTGCTCAAGTTACAGCCGGAGGAATGCATGATGGTGGCCGCGCATGCTTACGATCTGAGAGCTGCAAAGGAAATGTAAATCTCGTCCGGCGAGATCGAATCGTGAATGTTAGGGTGACATGACTGACGCAGAAGCAGTGGCATGCAAACGGCTTACATCCAACGTTGGACCGAAGATCCGCAGGAGGATATGACCAAGGTGAAGGGGGAGAACGACATTTTCATCGAATTCAGTGGCGATCAACACACAGTGTCCAAGGCACATGGCGGTCTACTGAAGCTGGCAGAATTACTTGGCGCCTGAATAACCAGTCAGCATAAGAGCGTCGCTCATGACCGACTCAATCATCGTCCATCCTGTCTGCAGCCTGGTCCGCACCTTCGCTGGCGTCGACTGGCCACCACTCCGCTGCCCTCCAACTCCCCGGTACTCTGAGTCCGGACAGTAGCGCTGCTCCATCTGCTGTCCCACGATCTGCAGAACGGGACGCTGGTCCAGCAGCCTGGTCGCCAGCATAAGCCTTGTCAGCGACCGAGAATGGACCACCGGGATCGTGGCCGCCGTTCGGATAGAAGCCAGTGATGGAGCGGCTACAGATGCGTTTCGGCTGTGCTGCTGGTCTAATCGATGGAGGCGCTGTAGTTTGGCGGCCGGACGCCTGGTCTAGGTGCTCACGAAACGGCACCGTTGCCACTAACGTCTGTTCAGCAGCGACATCTCCAGCAGCGGCCGCCTCCGAGGGGCTGAGGTCTTGCTCCCGCCACCCCTCAGGCGACGGCGGGTAGTATAGCGGGCCGGACTGATCGTACCCACCATCCGGTCAGCCCTCTGGCAAAGAATCACTTTTGCCAATGCCGGGCGGCAACGCGACATTCGACGATGCCGTTGGGGCTCTCGCGCCTACCTCAGTGCCTGCAAGGTACTTAGCTCCACGACGAGCCTCTTCGGTAGCCGGCTCATTACCCTGTGGACTTTCCTGTCCATCGACCAGGAGGAGTGCTTGAGCAGCGATATGTTGCAGGTCCTGCGCTTTAGGTTCGGCGATGGCGGGTGGGGAGGGAGTGCGGGAACGCTGACCTCGATGTGGGTGAGACGATACGAAGCCGATCTCAGCTTGGTTTGCTGAGCGATCTGGCAGTGCTCCATCGACGTAGATTATGCGACCGCTCTGGGGTTGGCTGGTCTCTGTGCCGTGGCTGGGACTTTGTGCCGATACATTAGGATGTATGTTCTGAACTGTGTCTGTGCTGGTCTGCAGAGCTTGTCGATTGCGTAAAGGCAAGTCCTGAAGTGGCGGTCTATCGGTCATCGGTGGTTTAGGACTGTCCAGCTAATGCAAGGCGTAGCTTGACTTTGACCTGTGGCTCTGCATCGTTCGGACGTGATATATCTGTGTGGATCTGGATGAGGCATCAGCACGGTGGTATGCTCCATGTCTCTGGTCCCTACCGGCAATTGCGAAAGGCTTCGCTCTTGCACATTGACATGTCTCAGAGGTGGTAATTCCAAACAATGGCATACTGGTGTCGATCGGACAGTCGGTAATGGATGAAAGCTGCTGAACGATGTTGCTCTGTACATATCTCGTACACTCCCAGGTACTCCAAGTATCAACATTCGTATTCTTCCAGTACGCCTCAAACACCACACGAAAATCTCTACACGTCCCAATGTCTCTCTCAGACAAGCACATGCTGTCCCAGCTTCAGCGCAACCTTATGCAACTCCCCGAAACCCTCTTCCCACTCTGCCTTCTCGCCTTCCTTCGCGCCCTTACCCTGGCCCGGCGTACACATCACCACACTAGTCGGTCTCTTCGTGCTCCCTGCAGCGCCGAGCTCTGCTCTGCTCGGAACAAAGATGTACGGGATGCCGTGGTCCTCGCATAGCACTGGGATGTGCGAGATGACGTCCATTGGGGAGATATCTGCGGCCAGGATAACGATGCCGTTGGGGAGGGTTGTGGGAGCGAGAGACGGGTTCGAGGCGGGGGATTTGCGGATGGCTTTGACGACTTCTTTGACGCCGCGTTTGAGGGACTTATGCTTCGCGGCTGGAAGGAAGATGTTAGTGAGCTGCGTACAGGAGTATATCTTAGGTCAGACGAACCTCTCTTCACGCCTTTCAACACCTTCTTCTGCTGCTTCTCGTCCGCCAATGGATTCGCGAATGGGACGAGCGCAGAAACCGGGATCACCATCTTCAGATCCTTCTTCTCATCCTCCTCGTCCTTCACTGCCACGACCGCTGTGGAAGTAGCGGCAGGCGCATCGGTGACGATAGTGTCGTCGACATCTACAACCTCCGACTTGCGCTTCTTCTTCTTTTCCTTCTTCGCGGCTGCTGCTGCGTCGTCTCCGTCAGCGGCAACCTCCTCGTGCTTGCGCTTCTTGTCCTTCTTCTCCTTCTTCTCGCGCAGCTCCGACTCGGATTTGTCTTTGGCCATTGTAGTTGAAATCGGCTGCTGCAGTTGGTGGTCGGAAGCTTGATACATGTAGTGAAGGTGAAGCCGAGATTTTTATTGGAGCTTCAGACGGCTTGGCATTACTGCATGTGTACACGACTCGCGCCGACTTCAATTGCAATCATTGTGAGGGAACAGCAACAACGGGACTAAGCACATTGGGCTATGGAACGCGACGCTCACTCCGTTCAACAGCCGCACTCAAGGATGCTCCCATTGAGCATTGATAAAGCAGCACCGTAGTATCTGGATTTGTCATACTGCAATCCGGAGATTCAATGTGGCTCACCTCCATTGCAATCCAATCTACTGCCACGAGGCCAGCATGGCAGCTCTACACCTGTCCGCCCGGGGGTTCCGATCTAGTCTTAGGGGAATATTGATTGGTAGCATGGCTCGTTGCTCTGGACATACGTATGGTACCTGCAGCCACTCTGCCGGAGGTATCTCTTGTTCTCGACGTAGTTGCTGCCTATCGCCAGCCACTCAAACCACCTAGCCATTCAGACTGCTCACTACCCACCCTCGTCGTCCCCCTCCCCTTACCGCCCAAACATCTCCCTGTAGCATGGCTCCTCACTCGCAACATGCGAGTGATACTCACAGGGCCCCTTCTTCTTGAACCACAACTTCCTCGGCTTAGCAGTCATCGTCCTCGTCTTCCCAAGCAGCAGCAAAGTCATAAGCCGGAAATGCTCGTCGCCAGCGCGCAGATTTTCCAGCTCAAAGCTCTCATCCGTCCACGCCAGCGCCACAATCTCCACCAGCAGTCTGCGCATCGCCGACTCCTGCCCGGCGTGAGCTAGGAGCTCCCCGTCCAGAGACGCAGCAATCATGCTGACGGGCAGTTTCGCCACGATAGCATCGCTCACGGCGTCCATGAAGCTCGTAGACTGGAGTCGCGCGCCCATTGTCCAGGCGCTGAAGAGACGAGCCCACTCTGGATCCTCGGGAGTGTCGATGTCGGTGTCGGCTTCGCGGCGGCTGGAGATCTTGCCGGTGTAGACGAAACTGCTGAACATGCCCAGGAGATCGACGTCGTAGCCAGGAAGGACCAAGGAGTCGCCGATCAGCGTGATGGTTGGGGCTGGAGCTTCGGCCTTCACGGGCTCGAATCCTGGTTCGATTTTGATGAGCGGCTTTGTGTCGGACTGAGCGGCGTTGTCGATGATGCCCTGGAGCAGTGCGGAGTGTCGTACGAGAGGATTGAGGTGGACGGTGATGGGATCCCTGCTCGATGCATGCTCAGTGTAGAGCTTGAGCGTGCGTGGGCCGAGGCTGGGGATGGTCAGTCTGCGTACTATCGCGGACGAGGTCTGCGCTTACTCCGTATTTGGCATGAACTTCTGTTTGGTAGGGCGGCTGCTCATCGCCTCGCCTTCAGCATAGCGCTTGAGCGTGACAGACTTCTTCGCTGGCTTCGTGACCTTTGCGATCTTCACTTCTGACGGCGGTCCATCTTGCTCTATCTTCAACCTCCCCTTTTGCTCGGGTTCGCTCTGACGTGCCGGCGTCGCTTTCTCTGTGGTAGACACCACGCTCTCCATGCGCCCGACCTCGAGCGCAGGCGTCGCTGTCTCTGTCGTGGACACCACGCTCTGCATACGCTCGATCTCTCGCACAGGCGTCGCTTTCTCCG